CCGCCCTCCCCACGTCCTGGCACGACCATGCGTCTGATTCACGACGACAAGGCAAAGAGGGCGCCGGGGCGTCGCTCTCTGCTGCCCTGGAAACCTCTTCTCCTTCCCTCCCATCCTCCTTCCCTCCCTCCCTCCCTTCCCTTCCCCGCTTCGCTCCCTCCTTCCCTTCCTCTTCCTCCTCCGTGCACGGACACCAGACTTCGAGAGGACGAGTGGAGGAAAGAGAAGGGGGAAGGAAGGAAATGTCTCCAAAAGCAGGGAGGTTCAAGAGATGGCAGCGAATGATGCGGAGGTAGAAGGAGAGGGAGGAATTAAGCGGGCAGGAAGGAGGAGGGAGGGAGGAAATCATTCGGAAAGAGAGCAAGACGGGCCGTGGGGAAAAATAGGAGGAGGAGGGAATAGAAGTAAGGAAGGCAATGGGGAACAGCATCGAAGGCACAGGCAAGATGTATATAGAGTACATCATAATATATATATATATGAATATATGAGCGCAAAGGAAAACTTATCTCTATGCATCCATCCGCCTATCAACCACCACCACGATGGAGTGCACGCACGGCGCAGCCAATCGCCTCCAAAATTGAGTTTGTTTATCCCCTCACGTTTAACGTGCGGTAGAAATAGACGTAAGAGTCACGCTGTCAAGTTATATTGGTTTCAAACTGCCACGCTCGCTTGCAATCTATTTTCTGGCGTTCGTGGAAGATGCCGTTTTTCATCCCGATTGACACACCCATTAGACGATATCAGGAATTCTGGGGAAAATACAAAAGCGTACCACTAAATTGTACTTAATACGCCCTCACAAATTGGTTGATATCACAACCCAAACGCCCGTAACATCTGATATTCTTATGCTTCCTGCCTAGTGTATACAGGGCTACTCTATGGCTGCAGCCATCCCCACATCCTATCTCCTTCCCTCAAAGCAATCCTTCTTTTCAGCGCCCCATCTTATTGCAGACAAGAGAAGGGTATTATTAATCTGCAAACCAGTCTATGGTCTCCCCACATTCATGTGATGCGTGGTGCGGTATATTCCATCCATTGCAACCTCATGCCAACTATGCCTCCGCAGTTTTCTCCTCTTCTTGTGCGTGGTCTGACAACTACACGACCACCAAGGTACTACCAACTCCGTCTCCTCCCCTTCTCTCTTTTCTCCTGTTCCCGCCTCTCCTACAGCACGAACGCTTCCACAGGCACATCGATCGCCTCGATTCTCTTCTTGATCGTCGCCGAAATCGCCAACGGCACCTCTTTCGCCAACGTCTCCCCGCTTGTGCGTTTCCCTCCCTGCCCCCACTCCCGCTTCCCTTCCCGAATCGCAGCAACCACGCCAAAATATGCGGAGCTCGCCAGCATGAAAGGCGGTTCTCCTGTGGCTTTGCTGCTCAAAATCAATCCTTCCTTTTCCTTCTTTTCCTCTCCTTGTCCTACTTTTTCTACTGTCGTCCTTGACCTCCTCTGCTCGCGCGTCCCTGCCGAGGGAGGAGGGAGGAGGCTTACGTGGAAGTGAAGGGGGATGTCATTGACCCCTGGGGGTTTGTAGTGCCAGGTGCCATTCGTAAGCAAGCGCCCCTCCGGGTCGAATTCCACCTCCTCCGTCAAATAGTACCCGAGGCCCTGCACGAAAGCACCTTCGATCTGCCCAATGTCCACCTGCCGGGGAGGGAAGGATAGGGAAAGATGCGTCACAAGAATCTGAAAAGATTCGCTCCTCGGACCCTCCATCATGCGAACACGACGAGTCCCAGGACATTGCTTTCCTTCCCGTGGAACTCGCCAATGCGATGAGGAATCAAGTCTTCAGAATGTGACCGCACAAGGCAGGCAGCAAGAGAGGGAGGGAGAAAGGGCGCGCGGGAAAAAGAGGCGCACCTGCGGGTTCAAACTCCGGCCTGCGTCGTACACAATGGTAGAAGCCACAACCGTCACCTCGCCCGTCAATAGATCCAGCTCGACTTCGGAGAAAGCGCCGCAGTAAACGAAATAGTCAAAGGGTGCACCTCGATCGGTGGGAGGAGCGAACCATCCTTCCGCCGCCAG